TCCAGGGCTGTAGCCTGAATTGACCTGAAATACAAGTCTGCAGTAACTAGCTGTGAGTACCAGTGGCTAGTTAACTAGTTACTAGTACCAACCAATAAGTACCAGAGAACCACATGGGACCTTGAAAATGACTGTTACCTACTATCAAATTCAAAATCTATGAATAGCGGACAGTCCATACTCGCTGATATAACTCCTGCGCCCACTCGCCAGAAACTGTATAAGACATCCAGATTTCTATTATCCGATATTCAACAATATAATACAAAGGCCCAATAGCAAGATGGAACGGGTACAACACACTACCACCGATATTCCAGGGAAAAGCCCTTTCTCCCCGATCATGGTGTCTTCTTCATCCACGATGGAGGGGGCACGTTACTGCCCTTAGCCATCTCCTTATGCGCAAAGTCAAGACCCAAGGCCTTCCAGGTTGGTCGCCATGCTTCCTTATCCGCCTTCAATTCCTTGGCCTGTTCCTTAAATGCCTTCCGCAGTTCTTCGTCTGGCTTCTCGGCGCTGTTGGGCTTTTGGACGTTCTCCTTGCGCACCTTTTGCTGGTGTTTCTCCGTAGCGTCCCAGGATTCCTTCTCCCAGCTGTAGATCGCGGAAAGGCATTAGTAACGAGACGACAATATAAATGGATTGTAAATTCCACAATGTGTAAGTTGATACTGTGGAAAGGTACTGGTACGTACCGGGTGAAGTCTGTCGGCTCCTCGGGCCAGACGAAGGGCTCGCGCAGCTCGACGGTCATCCGCTTGATGGATTGCGGTCGCCGCCAGGCGCCAAAGTTCCGTTGGTCACGGTCGATACGGGTGATGGGTTGTTGCTCGATATAACTACGGACGCTGACGACGCCAACGCCGTACACACGCTCGAGGTAGTCGCGGATATCGAGCTTGTTGAAGTTGAGCGGAACGCGGAATTGGGCATAACGCGGGGAGAGGAAAGGGGTTCGGACGAGGGCGATTGTGAATTCGGGACTGTGGAAAGAGAATATTAGCATACTTCTTTATCTCAGTGTCGTGGTGCTGAAGGCCTGTGAAAGACTCCTCGTGTATCATGTCTCTGCCGCGAGAGGATAGAAATTTGACTCGTGGGCGTTTTGCGGTGCTGACTTACAGGAAGACCTGCTTCCGCTGGTTCAGAGGCAGGAAGCCGCTTGACCCCAGCTTGGGTATGCCAATTGCTTTGCGCACCATTGTGGATTGGATGGTTGTTGAAGTGTCGAAGCGACTTGCCACAGGCGATCTTTTGCTGCGCTGAGGCAGAACTGCGTGGGTGGCCGCACCGCCCGCCGTAGAACAAATAGTACCGCTCCAGCCAGTCGGACATAATAAAGTAGACAAGTTGTTGATTTACGATGAATATATAAAATCAAAGATCACTGCGTAAATAAAATTTCTTATCTGTGTGTGTTGGGTAAAAAAGTAGCGATATTCATACTCTACATAATGGCCAATATCGTGCAGGGGATTTTCCATCTACTAGTCAGTACCAGGCCAACAATGAATGTAGATGTGACTAGGATACTAGCCTAAAATGTCCTTTAAATTTCAGAGATGCAAATGCCTAATTTACAGTAAAATTCATAACTCGTGGTCATTATTGCATGTGCCGTCACTTTTTTTATTGTCCCGATGACCCCGAGACCTGCAACCCTTCCAACCGCTTAGAACTTTCCTCCACATCAGCACTCACTTGATCTGACTGTTCATTCTCGGGACTCTCCTCGACTTCTGAGCCTGATTGTTCCTCTTCATCCTCATCATCACCCGCGCCTTCAGAGTCTTCGGCATCGCCATTGGCGCCAACTTCCTCCATATATTTCTCAAGCTCACGGGCCATCTTTCGTGAGAAGCCAGAGGCCTCAACCTCTACATCCAGGCGCTTGCCAGGGTTCTTACGGAGATTCCTTCTCGCGTCTTTGAAAGATGGACCAGGCACGTCGCTCTCGAAATGGAACTTCCGCTTGAAATAGCGCTTGATGCAGTTGACATCGCGGTCAAAGTACATTTCGGCATTACCATGGTCAATGGAAATCATCTGCGGGAAATCGATCACAACCGGCTCTAGGCGCATATTTTCTTCCGTTACCGGTTCCGTGTCGTCAAGTATCTTGCCATCCTTGTCGGGGATCGGGATCTCCTTGATCAGAATGTTGAACTCGTTAAAGTCACCGTGAATCAAACCAAAGCGCGCCAGTTCCATAATGATATCCATCAACTCGGAGTATAATGATGCTGGGTTGGGCACTTCGGAGATTTGTCGGAGAGGGAAGGCGTCGATCATGCTCATGACAATGGTGTGGCGGTTCTGGGCAATGGGCTCGGGCACTGAGAATCCGTTCTCCCGGAGTGCTTTCATGAAGGCGAACTCCTTCATCGCGGCCAGCCGCGACATATACATCCAGGACGCGCTGCTGCGGTGTCGAAGATAGTCTCGGTTGGTCTTCACGGTTCGGAAAGAGATACGACCGAGACGGTGAATCTTCAGAATTCGCTGCGATCCAGTCTCATGTGCGACGACGACGATATCTGATTCCTTGCCAACACCGATTTGGTTTCCGACGGAGTACACCACCTTCTGCTTTTGATGCGCGTTTAGAGCCAAGTAGTCGAGTCCTCCGTATGTGAGTCGATAGCCATCATCTGTCAACGAGAATAAATGTTAGCAATCGGTTATTGAGAGTATGGAATAGCGATAGAAAGGGTAGTGGTACATTTCGCATTTTTTACTTTGGCGATGAGGTTCGTTTTGGCCAAGTTCGAGATGGAACGATGCACGCCACTGCCGCCCCGAAGGCCGGACAGTTGGGAGATCAAAGGTGTCGGGACAACCTCGTGGTTCCGACTTCCGGCTTCCGTCTATTGTACATGAAGCGTGTTAGCTGTAAAGATAATAGACCAGAGGGCGATGGCATGGCGGGGTGGAGGGGCGATAAGTACTCCTTGAAGGACGCGGAAATCCTCGGACGTGAGGTAACGAAGCATCTTGGCGTCGAGTTTCATCTTGGGCGGTTATGAGGCTGATCTCAGCCTTGAAACTCTGTATGAAAAGAAAGTTAAGCAAATGCGCCGGGACTTGGGGATCATCAACCTTGATGGACGCGATGGGATGCGGAGACCAAAAAAAAAGATAAGCTCGGAGCCCTAAGCCCTATTTCCTTTTCGGGCGACCATTGGGGACCTTGATTGAGCCTCACGGAAATGCCGATCCCCCTCATTAGTATAAGGATGAGTAGAAGAAGATGGCTTCAATTGATCGTTCTTCAATCTCACCAGCGTGGTGGAATAGATAAATTGCCTCATACTATCTTTAACCAATCTCCAATAATAAATCGAATTGATCATGGACTCCAAGACATATCACTTACCACTTCTTGATATCTGGCTTACATTTACTCTTGTGCCCATTTAGGAGGCTCGCAATTTGAAATAACTTCAAGTTGATCCTTCATTACTCTCTCGACTACTACTACGTAATTATTACCCCTTGAGTCCAAGTTCAAAGTTAAGAGGATCGCAACTTCCAGAGTTCTTTTCTGGGTTGCGGCTCTCTCGATATGCAATCGCCCATCGAGAATATTTGCATTCTCTTCAACACCTGGGCATACTTCACACCAGAAAGCATTGATACAACCTAACGAGCCCCCTTGCAACCCCCTTCCTTCAATCTACCCTTCTTTCGAAATGATACCGGCAGAAGCAGTCATTGGTCATGGGTCTTTTTGGCATCGGAGATTTCACACCGTGAGGAAGTACGGTCTGCAGGGTGACAACCGACTACTTTATGGTAACATTCCCTTTCTTCACAAGTACGATCGGGTTTTTTTCTTGGACTTATCCTCGATGAATACAACCTCCGCATCAATGCCCAGGAACAGGAGAGAATCGAAAGAAGGATCAACGGTCTCCGCCCGGCATTGGAACCTGACAATTACGAAGATAGTAAAGAGTGGCCAGCGGATATTGACGAGGTCTGAGTCGATTACAGTGATCTATCACCTTTGCTTCACGATTTATCATTATTTCTCTCCTACGAGGAACTAAACTTGAAGTCTGCTGATATTCCGGTGCTTCAGAAGATTCTCCGTCCACAAGTCACCAAGTCCAACGAAAAAGGGATTCAAGTGTTGCAGAATATGCTTTACGATGCGAAATATCGACACAGTGACTTGTCTCGCAAATTACACGAAGTAGAAACCATGATTCCAGACTCGATAAAGCCGAGCTATGACTCCATTTGAAAAGATCCAAAATGGTACATGCGAAAAGAGCTAGTGACTGAATGTGCGGGTCAGGGTGGATGTTGCAGTCGTGATTGTGGTTGTTAAGCCCTGCGTGCTACACATTCTTACCAAAAGGGCGCGGGGCATTGTACGGTCGAATGCTATTGTTGTGTGAGATTTTGAGGCTTCAGGTCACCTCCGGAGGAAAAGAAAGAAGTACTCAACGGACTGACCATGATGTTCAAATGCGACACTACTACTCATTTTCTGGGAATGGTGAACGCTTGCTTCCCCAAACCCTAAGTTATTGCTGACATGCAGCATGGCCCGTCCCATAAGCCCTAAAACCTCCAGTGCTGCACTAATCATCTTGGCACCCGGACCCTGAATCGCTACTTGTGGCAACACGTCCGTTATATTTGATGAGCCTCGACCGGAGAATAGATCAAAGTGGGCTGACGCTAAGGCTGATGTACGAGGAATGCATAAGGCACGGCCACATTGACAGGGTACTCTCAAACATATCCTCTGAACACTAAACCCTGATGCACGATGCTGGGTATTGTCTCAGATAGAAGCCAATCTGAGGCTCTGCCAAGGTGTGATTCTCTAGCATTTCTGCAGGTATCTGCAGGTGTGGAGTATGCAAAGGATGTCTGATCTAGGACACGCGATCTGGATTCCCCCCCCCGAAGGCTCGATATAAAAGCCCGCCGGACTGGGAGGTTTGCTCTGGGCCCGACTAATCACGAACCACCTGGGAAATATGTTGTCGAGCTTGCTTTTCGCACTTCTTTGCGGCCTGGCTGCTGGCCAGGAAGAAGGTATGTTGATGTCCGAGCATTCCTGCATTCGAAATTAACAAGAAAAAAGCAACCACCAGTGAGCAATGGCTCATTACCCTCAATACATCTATCTTTTGGCCCACGGCCACTAATTACTACTATGGACCTACTACCGGCCCGGAGGCATCTGCAGTCACTTGCAACGCCAAATGGGTCGAATACGCAGGTCGATCCGAGGGCCTGCGCTCTCTAGGGTCAACTGCCACGAGCATCTCGCTCGGTTCCTATGCTACTAGCGAGGGCGCTTGTCGTACCTCCGTATCCCCAGAGGCGTGGTCGGACACTCATACGGGTCCTCTCACTACCCTTTGTGATGGGATTCCGCGAGCCGTGGGTCCTCGTGAAACAGCCACGCAATATTACCCCGGAACTGGTCCCTGCGAAACGGGATATACAACCTACACTAATACGGAGACCCTTTATCGAGAGCCGTCCCCAGTTCCAGACTGCGCTCTCGAAACAAGTGATTGTATCCCAATCTGGCAAACGTATTCTAGCCTGTCAAGCTCCTGGCGCGACTCAATCATCACCTCTGTGCCTGGTGATACTAATAGCCCTATTCGCCCTGAGGACTGTCCCCAGACTATTCGCGAGTACCCAGAAGAGAACCCCTGCTCAAATTGTCACTTCCTTCCAGCCACCGCGACCCTCTTCTACTGGCCCATCTCTACGGCCGATGGCGATCTCTGTCTGCAGAACGGAACGACTGTCCCGGCCTCAGGTCTGAGCACAGCTGTAGTTAATGGCGCCACTTTTACCTCCCCTTCAATCTACGTATCTTTTACATCCATCTACGCCTGGAGCAACCGGCGTGCTCACGCAGGATTCCAATGCGGCGTCGATCACAGCGATGTGGTTATCTCGGTCAACCCAGAAACCGTCTCCTCCATGCGCGGCCATCGGAATGCCAAATACCCGACTATTGGAACAGCATATCCATTCAATTTTGCCGAGTTCATGCCACAAAAGATTGGGAATTATACACAGCCGTTGATCCCATGGCCACAGTTCCGCGGCGGCCAGCAGTGCCCGTTGGCGGATAGCAATACCTGCAGTATCATACGTGACGATTATAGTCCTTGGCTACTGCTCCCGGAGGAGATCCGCGGAGTAGACCCCAGCTGGACAGTATGTGATAACGATTGGTATATTCCGCCCGTGACGATGGTTGCACTTGATAGTGCGACGATCACAGTCACATCGACGCCTGAACCAACCGCCGAGGTATTTGCGGCGGCAGTAGCCAAGAACGCAGTGGCAGCGTCGACGCCGCAGGCCACCACAAGAGGATGGTAACCTAAGAAATTAAAACAACTTTAGGTGGAGGTCCTTGCCAACTTGATACGATGAAACCACTGGCAGATATGCCCAGGTGCCATTCATTACTACTAGTAGTCACAAGTGTTAAGCGAAGGGGAGCATTGGAAGGAAATATAACCATGGCCGCTCCGTGCATTAAAATACCTAAGCAGTCCATTCCATATAAATCTACCTATTCGAAGAGTATCACCGGATCTATTATCAGATGAGCGACACTAGACCAGTTTGACAGCCATGGCGAAAGTTGTAGTCTACCATACATAAGATATCCGGAATTCCAAACGCGGCCGAATTTCCTGATAAACAAAATGCAACAGGGGAGAAAAAAGAGTCCATAATATTCCTCAATCGTTCTTGAATACATTAGATCCAACGACAACCCGACAATTGCTTGAGACCTAAATTAGTCACGAGATATAAAGAGTCGTCATTTAGTTTATTCGGGACTTTGCCAGTCGGGGTTCTGAATGTATCGTTAGTTATATGTAACTCAGTTATTCAAGGGGGAAGCTTACCTTGCGCAGAATGACCAGACCCTCCAGGATGTTGCTGAGCGGAATGTACTGCTCGTCTTCCAGCTCAGCTCTCTCTCCATGGGACAGAAGCACAGGGGTGCTTTGTGTCTGCCATCCGGTGATGGTCTTTGGACGACCCGCCTGGCCAACAACATCCACAGCTTGACCAACACGAACATTGACACTGAGGGGTTGTAGGTCCTCGTCGAGGGTAATGAGGAAACGAGGGAACATCGCTGTGATAAGGAAGTAGAGCAGGTAGTGGTGCTCAGCCAAGATAAATTGCTTGGCGTCAATCAAGGAAATGAGGACGGTGAGCAGACCCGCAGCCGACACACGAGAAAGAACCTGTCGGTCGGTGTGGAACGGGTTCAGGGTCATCGTACCCTTACCCATGTGCAGGAGACCCTGAGCAATGCGAACCATGAACAACGAGTTCTGGTCACGGTGGTAATAACTGGCAAGTTGTCGCAGAAGCTGTGCGAGGCGAGCATTGTTGGTACCCGCACCGCAGAGACCCATAGCAAAGATTGCATTGATAGCCACGTCATTGTCATTGTCGTGACTGTATCTTGACAGGGTGTCATAGACCTTCATCTGGGGGTTACTAGGGCTGATGAGGCCCATCGCCAAGGGAACGGCTCGTCGGATGTTGCTAGAGCCGTAGTGCATAAGGTGACCAAACTGGCGGAGGATCATGTCTTGACCAACATCCTCGCCCATTGAAATAAGTGAGAGACCCAGCACGGCGTAAGACTGAACCAGCTCGTCGCCCTTGTTCTCCTCCTTTTCTTCGATAATGTCATTACAGATGTGAAGAAGCTCTTGGAGCTTGAGCACGGTACCAGTACCAGCCCAGGCACAGACCGAGGCAAGGACTGACGTTGGCTTGGCCATCGGATGGTCAACGGCCTTGAGAATGTCAAGAATAACGTCGACCTCCTCTTGGCGGCCGAAGTAGAGGAGGGCCAGACCAAGGGCCATGAATCGTGTCCACTTGTCCTTCAGTTGCTTCTGGCGCTCCTCATCCATGAGTGTAGTGGCAATGGCCTCGCTGACCTGGTGGTTTGAAGATCCAACGAAAATCAAACCCAGTGAAACAGCTGCCATAGCAGAAAGCTGCATATCAAGGGAGGCATCTTCCACAATTGGCAAGAGGACCTCAAGGAGTTCCTCCTTGTTGGAGCCGGCGTAGGCCAGACCAAGACCCATGATAGATGCCACTCTCATTGGTACGTTCTTAGCCTCAAGGTTATCGGAATCACTCAAGAGGGCAAGTGCCGGGTCGGAATCGAGACGAACGCCGGAGTTCAAGATACCAATGGCGAGCAAAGCACCAGCCTTAACCTGGTCCTCGTTCGCGTAGGTGAATTTGTCGATCTTGTCCAGTCCATCCTCAACATCACGGTGCAGAAGCATGCCCAACGAAGCGGTGGTTGAAAGCATACCATCGTCCTTGGTCTTCCAGACCCATGGTCCCTTTTCTCCCTCAACGAGCATCATCTTATCGTTTCCGAAACCAGCGTTGGCAAAGGAGTTGACGAAGGAACTAGCCAAGTTGTGTCGTGCCGAATCAAGGTTGGTCAGGCCCGCTCCTCGGCTGCTCTCCAGGTGTGTCTTGTAGATATCTTCAGGCATCTTCGGGTCCAAGATGTTGAGCTCCTTTCCAAGCGACTTAAAGTGCTTGGGGATAGATGTGTTGTTCAGGCACTCGGCAAGAGCCTCATCCTCCTCGTCCTCTCCGGACAGGTCAAGCCAGATTTGCTGACGGGCGACCAGGAATGCCATTTGTTTCTTGAGAGCCTTGTCGGACGTGGCGTTGATGTCGCTTTTGATGAGTTCGATGTCGTTAAGTCGGATGGCGAGAACGATCGCTTGGGAAAGCTTGTTGTAGCGAACATAGATCTCGTGTGCAGTGCGGAGGAATTCTTGATCTTCGGGGTAAGTGAGTAGGTTGACCATGCTAACCATGTATAGGCAGACACGGGCATATGTGTTCTCGTCAACAAACCGGGGGATTTCCCCGATGATTTCCATCTCACTCAGAAGGTCGACAGCATCAGCCTCGGCGTTGTGGCTTAGGAAGTAGGGAACCAGAGACAGAGCGAGATCCACCAAGTCTTGCGTCTCCTTCTCTGCATTCAATCGGTTCTGGTATTCCTGTCCAATCTCCAGCGCCAAGTGTCTGATATATTCGTGGCCCCAAGACCCAAGATCCTCCGACTTGGCCAAGAGACGGTATTTCAGCGTCTCTAGCTTCTCCTCGTCTCCGTAGGTCATGCCGAGTACTGAGAGCGTATCGGCCAGCGAATCCTAGAGAGACCCGTTATTAGAATCGAGCTAGACGATGAGACGAGCATCCATGAATTTGCAGAAAAACCAACCTTCACGGCACCCGCATTCCATTTCTCGTAGAGCCCTGTCAATTCGTCGTAATGCGGTCGAAGGAATTTCAGAGGCTTCGGCACTGCTGTCATTGAGGAGGTGGAGGTCTTGATGAAGTTCTTGATAGCTTCCACAGCAGGTCCGTAGAGAGAGGTATCCGATTCCTATGGTAAACGGATGTTAGCATCAACATCAACGTCATTACTGATCAATCCCTCGGAAGAGCATTGTCGCACCTTTAATCGCTCAACGAGCATTTCCAGCTCATCCTTCAATTGTTGGTCCTCCTCACTGAGTTCATCTTCAATAGTGTCAGCCTTTGCTCCTGGATGTTGGGGGTATGACCCGGAGATCACACGGTCTGCTCGCGGATCATCGGTGGTCTGGTGCAGTCGCAACCTACCTTCCTGAGGCTCATCATCCTTCTTCTTTCCATCTGGCGCTGCCTTCTCATCGTTCTGAGGCTTCTTGCTATTCAGCTCGCTGACATCCTCAACCTTGCCCTTGCCCTTGTCGGCGGCGGTTGACCGTTCGCCCTCGTTCGTCATTTCTGACGGTAATCTGGCGACCAGGTCGGTGTGGAATCAAAAGGACGCGACGAAAGCTCTGATGTGAGAGGATCAAGTATGCGGTCGCACAAATGTGAAAGGAAGGAAAGGGGGTTCTGCAGATGGCGAATGATGCAGTTGTTAGCTGGCGACGGAGCCATCGAGCTCGGGCTGTTGCAGCTCCCGGATCCATGATTACATAACAATGCCAAGCCTTCGTCATTGCTCGCTCTAGCACCTTCCAGCCAGACTTCGTTTGGAGAATTTCGTGGACTTCATATATATTAGTGTGTTTATGGAAAGTTATATGTAAATAGACTCCAATTATGATATATAAGTGCAATAGATCAGTTTGGACAAATATCTACCAAAAAAAACCCAACAAGCAAGATCCTTAGAACCAATTTTATAACACCTTGCTCTGAGATAAGACCAGCTCAGGACCGACCAGAGACTGTTCTTGCTCTAGTGGCTTGTTCCTCAGCAGCCAAGACCGTTCCATCATATGATAAGAAAGGCAGCGTGTCGATATCGGCAAGACCCAGTTCGAAGGTATCAAGCAGGGATGTAATGCTAGCTTCTCGACTCACCGGCTTTTCATCAGACGATGTTTCCAATTGATTAAATTTAGACACTTCTGAGGCTTGGTTGTTCCCAGTTGGCTTTTCCTTCGATTCTTTTTCAAGTTGGACAGAATTGATAGATTCTGCAAACTCTTCAGGAAGTCGGTTTAACTCAGTGTGTACCGTTGCTAAGGGGGAGGTAGTACCACTTGCAAATGCAGGATAGATCATGTAGTATCCCTTGTCTTGCATCATCTCCAGTAGATACTCCATGAATGCTGGGTATTTTTGAGAAACCAACTTGTCCTTTGAGGCCCCATTGACCCTGCTTTCCGAGTCCAGACGACTTGAGAGGAAGGAGTGAAACTCAACCCACTTATCACCAAAGTACAAGGCTGCATTGCTGTTTGGCGCTTGCCATAGTAGCGATGGGATCGGCTCTTTCTTTTGATATTTCCCGTTATCAAAGGGTGGTGCTGGTGGCGGTGTAAACGGAGCATTGTCGGGTGATGGCTTAGATCTAGGCAATTCAAGCGAGATTCCCAGGAGGTTCGAGGACGCAGAACGATCTCGAACTGGCTGCTTATAGCGCAAGACACTGTATTTCAGGTAATGATAAAATGAAGGGGACAGTTCTGTCTGGGGAGACAGAAGGAGGAGATGCGTAGTGCTTGGATTTAATGGGTAAAAGCTTTCCACGGTTCGCAGAGAGGAGCCGGCAGGGTCCATGTAGTGAGGCTCAACACGCCGGCGGAGGGTAACATGTCCTTGGAGTTGCGATAGCTTGAGAGATTGCAGGCTCTCTAGTAGCTGAGATTCAACCAGCGGTGGGAGTTCGATTGTTAGTCTAGGTACAGTTCCCAGATAATCAGCCGCGTCTAATGAGCGGACGAGCCTAATGAGTGCTCCCGATGACTGGGAGGCATGAACAACCATGTCAACCCGAATTTCATTCCAGGCTATAATAAACACAACGTTAGATCTTTCAAGTTTGGATGGACAATCAGTCGACAGGGGTGCATATATTTACCTTGCAGAGCGTGGCTTCGAAGAGATGCGACCCACATCAAATCCCGGGAAGCAGTGGGAAGCATGATATGAGGAGTACCACTTTCGGCCTTTTGAACTTCTAATCCATTCAAAAAGAATAAATCTTCCCAGCTTGGTCTCTGGGTAATTATGACTTCTGGAGCAATGAAATCCTGGATGAAATGCAGACCACCAACCACCGCCCGTGCCATAAGAGTGTCGGTAGACTGAGCTGCAGAGTCTGGCCGACCATCTTCCCAGGGAAAGTGTCAGTAAGGATATAAGACTGTATAACTCAAATAGGGTTGACTGACCATGCCATGTCATAGGACATTCCGAGTCGCTGATTCCGTTCACTTGTTTGATACCTTCAATGGATACCTCATCCCTACCCAGCAAGACGACATGAACTCCGTTCAGTTTTGTCCTTGCCATTTCACAAGCCAGAGGCAGAAAATCTGAGATACTGCGAAGGTTCGACCCCGCAAATAGTACGGCGTTGCTAGCTTGGTCCATGGGATACTTCTGGCTGGGAAGAGATTGGGCCAGATTGTAGAACTTGATCTTGTCGCCATACAACTCGTCCTTATCGTAGGTTTCAAGTATCTTGCTATTAGAGAGCTTCGGTTTATCATTTTTGGGAATTGCCGGAGACTGGAATGACCCTCCAGGCGATGCAGGTTTCGGAGGTCTGAGTTTCGTTATGGTCGGATTGTATCGCTCGGCGGCCGGGGTCAGATCGGTCGGCATGTGCTTGAAGAACTGATACACGAGTACGCACACGACGATGAGAATCAAAATGCGCCGAGGTCGAAGAGTGGCTGAGCTTTGAATGGATCGAAAGCGCCCCGGTTCAGGAAGTCGATGGTCGTCATCTTTCTTGCCCAATTCCTCATCAGCCTGCAGTGACATCTTCGCGGGCGCCATGCTGGGTCAACATAGACACCAATGAAGGGCTATATATCAACATAAGGATATTCCTTGGTGTCCAAATCCAAGGAAGCAAGTTGAGCCGTGTGTATCCGCAGTCGAAGGGATGGTCAAGGTAAAGAGAGGGCGCCCCGATTGGAATGGGACGGAGTAGTTATCGCCTTATCGTTGAGCTCCGCGTTTCTTCTCCACTTCCCATCAACTTCACGTCACCCACACGCGCCGGGCAGATTGAACGAAATGGATGGCGAGATGGAAGTCGATTCTCCTGATCAGCGGGGAACCAAACGCCCCGTTGAGGAGACGGAGTCATCTGAGCCAGCCCAGCCAAAGCGGATCAAGGTAGGGAGACGTCCAAACCTAAAGGCCTCGACCTTCTGAGGGCGGTTTCATTGATACTTTGCTAACTTACGATATCATAGGCCCTCGATCCCGATGTGGTCAACAAAATCGCCGCCGGAGAAATTATCGTTGCCCCGATGCACGCGTTGAAGGAGTTGATCGAAAACGCCGTCAATGCAGGCTCCACCTCGATCGAAGTGCTCGTCAAGGATGGAGGATTGAAACTACTTCAAATCACGGATAATGGACATGGGATTGATGTGAGATCTAATAGAACCCCATCCCCTGCGACCTCAAGAATGGTGCTTTCTGACCTTGAATAGCGCGAGGACCTTCCCATTCTTTGCGAGAGATTCACCACATCCAAATTAAAAGAATTCGAAGATCTTACTTCGATTGGCACATATGGTTTTCGCGGCGAGGCTCTCGCTAGTATAAGCCATATCGCCCATCTTACAGTCACAACCAAAACTGCTGGATCAAGCTGTGCCTGGCGTGCACATTATGGTGATGGAAAACTGGTTCCAGCAAAGCCAGGTCAGAATGCAGCTCCCAAAGCCACTGCTGGGCGCGGGGGGACGCAGATAACAGTCAGTATTGCCTTACAATGCCTTTCTTTTCTGTCAGAGTCTAAATTGTTTCGTTACAACAGGTCGAAGACCTTTTCTACAATATTCCCACTCGACGCCGGGCTTTTCGCTCTTCAAGTGAAGAGTATGCTAAGATACTCGACGTGGTCGGCCGCTACGCAGTACACTGTGCTGGTGTCGCCTTTTCTTGTCGCAAACACGGAGACTCGGGGGTGAGCATATCAACTCCATCAAGTGCCACCACAGTCGATCGGATCCGTCAAATACACGGCAGTGCTGTTGCAAACGAACTAGTGGAGTTTGAGATTGCCGAAAAGAAGCTGGGGTTTCAAGCCTCCGGGCTTGCCACTAATGCGAACTACCATGTCAAGAAGACCGTGATATTGCTTTTCATCAATCATCGTGCGGTGGAGTCAACGGCCGTCAAACGCGCGATCGAACAGACTTATTCTGCCTTCTTACCGAAGGGCGGACACCCATTTATCTATCTTGATCTGGAGATTGAACCTCAACGTGTTGATGTCAATGTTCATCCCACTAAAAGAGAGGTCAATTTTCTAAATGAGGATGAAATTGTCGAGATGGTGTGCAGTGAAATTAGATCCAAACTCGCTCAGGTAGATGAGAGTCGAACGTTCTTGACACAAACATTGTTACCTGGGGTTCAGATTGAAACAATCCAACCAGGCCCTGAAAGTGCCTTAACCGGGGAGGGTGCAGCGAGTAGCAAAACAGCAAGCACTCCGAAAACACCAGCGACCTCGAAACGACCTTATGAAAACAACCTCGTGCGTACAGATTCGAAAGTCCGCAAAATCACATCAATGCTCACCCAAGCTCCTATCTCATCTCCATCTCATTTTGGGGCGTCCGCCGACGCTGGTGCCCCGGCATCTTCTATACTGGATGACGGCCTTCTATATGAGATAACCGATCGTCAGCCCCTCCGCATCGCCCTCACCTCCATCAAAGCTCTTCGCAGCTCAGTACGCGCTGCCATGCATAATACATTAACGGAGATGTTCGCATCTCATACCTACGTGGGCCTTGTAGATGAACGCCGACGCCTGGCGGCCGTTCAATCCGGAGTGAAACTCTACTTAGTGGACTATGGACTCGCCTGCAACGAATTCTTCTATCAAGTCGGATTAACGGACTTTGGTAACTTTGGGGTCATCAAATTAGACCCGCCACCGAAGCTCGTGGATCTTCTGAAGATCGCAGCCGAATCAGAGCAACAAGCGAGTCCAAATACTACCGACGATGACGCTGAAGCAATATTTTCCAACGCCGCAGAAGTGGTATCGTGCAGTCTGATCGAGCGTCGGGAAATGCTCGATGAATATTTTTCTATGCAGATTAGCCCTGAGGGTGAGTTGCTCACAATTCCACTTCTACTGAAGGGGTATGTTCCAGCTCTGGCAAAATTACCACGATTTTTGCTCCGGCTCGGACCCTACGTGGATTGGTCTGGGGAGGAAGAGTGTTTCCGAACTTTCTTACGAGAACTCGCGGCCTTTTACACGCCAGAACAACTCCCCACCCCTCCGACCACATCGGATTCAAACGAGGTCGCAGAGGGCACAAATTCAGGCGATGCGTCTACGGCACAAGAAGACCCTATGATTCAAGCACGCCGGCAGAAAATGGCGCGAATGTTGGAACACGCTGTATTTCCCGCTATACGTTCCCGACTTGTGGCTACGTCGCGAATGTTGCAGGGTGTCGTGGAGGTTGCAGACCTCAAAGGACTTTATAGGGTATTTGAGCGGTGCTAAAGCGACAGAAGGAAATGTCAACTTTAAAGTGCGCCGTACAGACCTTGAGGCCTAATAACTCCCACATCGGTGGATAAAATTCAAGGTCAAGTTAAAAAAAAAAAAGTGATCCTTTTTCGACCACGCCATGGCCTTATGAACGGCCGATAACACATGTACCCATAGTCAATACAGGGGTAAAGAAAGAAGTAGAAGAGAGGAGAGGTAAGATGCATGTAGCCAAAGAGTTGGTATGCCATCTGCAATGCTCCATAAATCCCGGATTGATGCAAGTAATCACCCAGTATTCTTCGTCGCACGACAGAAACAGCGAGATGGAAAAAACAGCAGAAAATAAAAGCGGAAAAGCCGAGGATAACCTGAAAACGACTCTTGGCTAAAGGTGAAATGATATGGAAAGAAGTAAATATGTCAGAATTTGTCCCAAGATGGTGCTCTGGTGAGACAAAAAGAAAGAAGAAAGAAGAAGAAAATATCATGCGACGACGTCGAGGTATTGATTGTATCGTCCACATGGCGGTTGATAATCCTGTTCCACCAAATCTTCGCAACGCCATGCGCCAAGACAAATCTGAAACTCTGAAGGTCATCTCGTGTTCGTGAAAATCGTAGGTCAAATCGTTCAACATAAAAGTCTTGCAATGCTGTTGGATACCCAAGCAAAGGCAAAGATAAAGAATGGTAATTAAAAATGTCGCGACCGTTCAAGTGGGTTCTGAGAGGTATTGGAAGAGAAATGTCGATCCGTGATCGATACGTAGTAGGCGCTCAGCTTCTCGAGTATGGTTTGTTAAGTAGCGCAATCTCACGGGCAACGCTAGCCCATTCTAATTCTCGCTGTATCTTGACGTTACGCTTCTTCATCTGACGCTCTTCCCATTGTAGAAGCTCATAACTATCAACAAGGTTAGCTTTGCGGTTCCCGAGGGAAATATCGTGGTAAATGGGTCTTACACAAAGCGAAGATGGGGCTGGATAATGACGTTCAGTCGCCGAGCCCGAACAAAGCAACTAAATAATGTTAGTACACTTTAAATAAACTTACATCGGACAAAACCTACTATGCTCGTGGGAAAGAGAGACCCTTGGTTGCCATGACTTCGGCGATGCAAATGCTGGCGGACCGAGAAACCCCCACGCGGCAGTGAACCAAGGTTGCGCAACCGTCCTGCTTCCCTTTTTCTGGTCACAGAAACGTCAGCACATGAAAAAGCCCCAAAAAAATTTCAACGCGACATGATTCTTTCCAATTGTGGCACTCACCGATGAATGCTAAGCAACGATCGATTTCTTCCCAAAGCGGGTCAATACCGTTGTCTTGGACATTGTCGATATACATCAAATTCTCCGTGCCCCATTCAGCGCGTTCAGCGTCGCTCCATGAGACAGGTTCACCGATGCTCAAGACACGTTTGATGCCAAGCTCGGTCAATAGCTGCGGGTTATTGGCATGATGAAGATTTCCCAGATAGAGATAAGGCAAGATACGACTGGGTAGAGAACCGTCCATCTTCAAGAACCACGGTGGATCCCGTATGCTTGATGTATCAATCGAATGGGACACCGGACTTTCCTGGAGCAGGCGGGGTTGTATATGACTGAGGAAGGCGACATCGGTCGGATATGTGAAAAAATTGCGCTTCTTTTCGCAGTGCAATCTAAGCCAGGCCTCATGGGCCGGAACTCCTTCGGCAAACATGAAGTATGCCACGGCAAGAAGAGAGCTTTCTGTATATCCATCTGCACAATGAATGAATACCTTGCGAGGCTGTCTACTTGGTTCTGTGTTGGCCATGACAGCATCAGCGTCAAGAACTGCCGCCTCCGCAGGCTCATCCGGATTGGCAAGATAGTATATCCATCGGATGGTGTTGACAAGATCTTCCACTTCGCGAGTGTTGCCGGAAGGAAGGACAATAGACCCAGATGACGGGAATTCCATCCGCTGCGGGCCATCTTCGAGCTGCTTATCGACCATACCCAGGAAACGTGGGCCTGGAATACTGGCGAGGTCGCTTGCTTCGATCAGAAGGTCATAGTCGTCTTCCTTTGTTGGTTCGCATAGACCAGGCCTGAGTAAGTAGTCCGGTGTTGGCCCTAGCCAGACATTTGCTGATATTTCTGAAGCTCGAGACATGCCACACATCTCCGACCGCTCCCATTGAACTGGCGGAAAGGATTAGTATGTTGGGAAGGCGACAGGAAAGAATGGTCTCAAAACCTACAGAAGTCCATCACCTGGCCAGTAGATTGGCCCCTCGCGTCAATGGCTACCAGATTAGGGTGTTTCTTCTCGAAGTCGGCAAAGGTACCTGATAAAAAAAATCAGGTCAGTTAAAAAGATATTTCCCATACATAAATAGGCGGTACTGACTTGTAACAACAAAGGTGTTGTATGTTGGTCGTTCATGAAGAGCGTCATGCTTCATCCGCCATGCCTGTTGCGCCAACGTAAAATCCTCCGCCAGCGCAAGGAGCTCAGACTTGCTCGATCCGTCTTCTGCGTATACAACAATATCCGACATGGCAACTAGCTTGGCGGTCTGGATCTGGAAGTTCCGCACCGAGAATCCATCTGGTGGATCTGCCATCAAGAAACGTGATGAAGGAGAAAGCACTTCGCTTGCGCAAACGGCACCCTTGATACGTGCTCTGCTCAGATCGCCGCCAAGCTTGACGACAGTGATGCCTCGCCAGCACTTTGGTGTCCGGCGCGAAGTCCGCTTGCGACTCGAAAAAAATCCCAGCTGCAAGTGATTATCGGGGTGAAGCCCATGTAACCAAGGGAACATTTGAGCAGGGTCCGACAGGGGCTGCGATGCAGCATGTTCCAGCGCAGCAGCCAATTTATCTCCATCGATGGCATACACTGTGGGAGATGGAAGGCGAGAGATACGTACAAAAGAGTCTGGTGGATACAGGAGAGACAAAGTCTGTTCGGGAAAGCTTCTCGGTATAGAAGGAGATTCGACGGGGGCGCTGTCAGCGGGGGATGGCCCCGTGGGACACACCGGGATGTGTTTATTGGGAATTGGGCTGGGTCTTCGGTTCACATTTAGTGCCGATGGAATTGGAGATGGAGGAGGGGTCGAATGGTGCAGCGTTTGCTGCTGAACGAGGACAGTCGCCATGATCAAAACAGGGTCGCCGATGGGGCAAGTTCAACAATCGTAAGTCGGTTTCTGAAAGAGGATTCGTGTTACGTTTATCGGTAGCCAGGCGACCAGAAGATCACATCCTTCGCACACTGGATGAGTGGATTGAGTTGATGGTTGCAAGTTGCAAGTTGCAAATTACCGAGGCTATATTGTTGGTTGGTCAGGTCAGTCAGGCGAGTCCTTGGTATATGAGACAACCAGAGATGGTATTGTAGTTTTCAAGGGAGCAGCAGTTGAGAACCACTCTAAAGCATGTCTGGAATGACAAAGGGGGAGAGGAGGGGAGAAATACAGTTATCAAAGGCCCACAGTCATACGACGCCGGTTGATAATAGGGTGAGCAAGGGGGACAAGGAATCCAACCAGGAAGCAGTCGATTGTCAGAATGGGGGGGGGGGCAAGTGAAGAGGGGAATCACAAGAAAAAGAACAAAGAATGATCTCGGGTGAAGTAAGGTAAAGTGATGGTGATGCGATGTTTGGAAAAAAGAAGGGAAGCAAAGAGGAGAGGAGAGGTGTAGTTGAGGTGTGCGGCCCGTGGGACAAGACCATCCAAGATGCGGGCGTGTTATCGGCGGAGTGTCGCACACTCCAATCCCAAATCCCACACACCTCCCGGAATTATTTCGCCTTTTTTGGGTTTGCTCCTTTGAACTTGGTGGACCACACCCTTGTTCAATATCCCTGCAACCTACTGTACGGGATGTATGTACATGAATCCCCTCTCTGTGGTTTGCTTTTAATCTCATCATCATCACTTATCATCGGCGTCATGCCCCTCCTCCACTGGCTCTCCCGGGTCTGGTCCCCCCCCGTTCACAGTCCCGAGTATCCACTGTTGACCCACGGCGGATCCTATCAAAACACGATAAACCTATCTGAAATCTATCGACCATTACTCTGGCGGGTCTTACTTCCCCCCGGGAACCCCGCGAGAGCGCCTCGATACACGCTAGACCACCCCTCCCACGGACGACCTCATCTCGGGGCACCAATCATTAACGGGCATCAATGGCCATGACGCTGAGATTCTTATACGCCCCTCGTTCTCGGCCCAGATTCCTGTTCACCCAGTCTTGTCTGTGCGTCTGGGGTCACCTCCACTCGCTTCCTCTACGAATCGTCGGTCGACAAGAGACAAAGAGACCCCGCACACATATTTCCTCAGTCCTGCATAACCGTGGTTTCCGTGGAATGCCGGTTGAACTCAATTTTCTCTCTCTCTCTCCAGCTTCTTATTCAACGAAGAGAGATGGGAAGCACCCGTCAAAGTGGACCAGAAAAGTGGGCCGAGATGCCGGGATGCTGACAGGTTAGGATCCGCCGAGCGAAGCTGGGCAGACAAAATCCACAATAATGGAGCCCCGTGTACATACAGTCGCCTGGACTTCTTTCCGGCCGTACTAATTTAATTACGGAGGAGCAGAGGAGCGCAAGACTGGGACTCGGACTGGGGCTGACCCCGGATCGCCCATGCGCGCTCCACGCTCCACCAAGTGGGGAGAGAGATATGCGGGCAGCACCAAATATTCAACATCCCAGCATGGCACCCAATTTATGTCGCGCTCTATTAATAAACAAAACAGGACAACACTTCACACCATCACTCTTTAATATCACCCCTCATGTGATGGCCAACATGAACTCGCAGATGGACTCGGAATAACTAGGAACCTAATGGCTACGACCAGCGCACTGGTGCCCAAAGGAAACACACCAGGTGTGTGTGTCCAAGGTGGCACCGCAGGAGAAGGATGGCTTGTCAATGTCTGGTGTACCTAGAGTCTCTCCGTACCTGGAAGTCACCCCTCCTTCTAGCCCTCTGGCCCCCTCTAGCCCCCTCGCATAGCGCTTGGAATCCGGGCCACCAGGATCCAGCAGGGAAAATAAACCCACCCCTGTGGCTGCACTCGAACTATGTAATTGGTTGGCAATTTCTCGCATCTCCTTGACTAGCCGTCACATATACATAAGCTGCCGGTTATGTCAGGTGGGGTTTTTCGAAACGATCAGGAAAGGCCTCTGTAGATCCCCTAAGGCTGTCTTGATTCTCAGGAGACTGGATATGTCGATCGTAGGCGTTGGAGTTGAGCCCCCGCAGTATGCCTTGCTGGGTGGCGAGTGCAGATGTCCACGCCACGCCAACTTCCCTGTAAGAGTTAATACGGTCGTGGGATCAGCACATCGCTTGCCTTACTCCCTCCCGAAGATGTGCCTGAAAGTGCCTCTGTTGAAAGTTTATTGGCATAATCGACAAGTCATAATATGTCGATGTGAATTCGGCTATTTGGGCTCTACTTCATCAAACTAGTCTGCCAGTGGGAATCTAATACACAAGCTGGGATCCAGCGTAAGATGGATCAATACATAATACTAGTACTGCAGTGGGCTTGAGTTTGGGTATGCAAAATACATACTACCTAGGTATATATAGATCTCACTCTAC